GATGGGAGGGGTGTGTGAGAAAGGAATTTGAGAAGAAGGGGAATGGGGGGAATTTGGGGAGGGTTGGAGCAGTGAGGTCTGAGATAGAATGAACGAAAAAAGAAGGAGGGGGGGGGGACGGGTCTCCGGTTAAAAGATTAAAGAAAAAAATATTTTTTTTAAATATTGCACTGCCGCGTCGCAAGGCGCGACGCGGTAGTGTATTTTATCAGAGGCTGGTGCTTTCGTCCTCAGAGCCATTTGGCTTGATGCGGCGGCATGGCACGGCACCCCATGCGGCGCGCTAGGCTATTTTTCACAGAGTCCGCCTCGTTTTCGATATTTACCATACAGGTTGCACCCCGACTCCATTATGTACTTATTTTATGTCCAATTCATGCTTGTACCTGCCCAAACAAGTCTCACGACTCCTAAACTCTAATAATCCTAAACTAATATTATGGGTTAGTGAGGTTAAAAATTGGGTTGCCTCCCAACAAGCGCCTGATGTAACGTCACGGCACGATGCATGCAATCGAACTTAAGGCTCACTCAACATTTTTGGCTCTTGCAAATGAGTCACCGATACCAATTTCTTCTTATCCATGCCCAAGTAATGTTTCAATCTTTGCCCATTGACTCTAAACCTATTCGTCCCATCCTCGGACTCAATTTCTGCAACTCCATTTGATAGCATATGCACTACTCTGAATGGTCCTGACCATCTAGACTTCAACTTGCCTAGAAACAACTTGAATCTTGAATTGTATATCAATACAAAGTCTCCAGGTTTAAAATTTCGTTCAAGAATATTTTTTTCATGCATCATCTTCATTCTCTCCTTATATAGCCTTGTACTCTCAAAAGCATGGTAACGAAACTCGTCAAGCTCATGCAACTCTGTGACTCTACTTGTACCCGCTATTTCCATGTCGAGATTCAGTTGACTCAAGGCCCACAAGGCTCTATGCTCCAACTCCACGGGTAAGTGACACGCTTTCCCAATTACCAATTTATATGGAGACATGCCAATTCAAGTTTTAAAAGCGGTACGATAGGCCCAGAGTGCATTCTCTAACTTTTTCGCCCAATCCGTTCTTGTAGCATTCACGGTCTTTGTCAACACACTCTTGATTTCTCTATTCGATACTTCCAATTGCCCGCTTGTTTATGGATTATATGGGGTGGCAACCTTGTGGCGAACACCATATTTTTCTAACACTTTTGCGAAAGCTCGGTTGCAAAAGTGAGTTCCTCCGTCATTGATTATTGCCCTTGGAGTGCCAAATTGGGTGAATATATTCTTTCTCAAAAAACCAATGACTCCCTTTGCATCATTTGTCAAAAGCGCTGCAGCCTCCACCCATTTTGACACGTAGTCCACAGCTACGAGTATGTACTTATTGCCATATGAGCTGACAAAAGGCCCCATAAAATTGATTCCCCATACATCAAACACTTCTACCTCCTGAATTGTGTTCATGGGCATCTCATGTCGGCGGGAAATATTCCCAGTTCGTTGGCATTCATCACAACCCTTCGCCCAGAAGTGTGCATCTTTGAACAATGTTGGCCAGTAAAAGCCTGACTCTAACACTTTCGCAGTTGTCCTTACTCCCCCGAAATGGCCTCCATATGGGGATGCGTGACAAGCCTACAAAATAAAAGATTGGTCTATCTCGAGGATACATCTCCGGATCATGTTATCAACACAAATCCTGAACAGATAAGGCTCATCCCAATAATACATGCGATAGTCACGAAAGAACTTTTTCTTTTGGACAGAAGAAAGGTCATAGGGGACAATACCACTCGCCAGGTAGTTTGCAATGTCTGCATACCATGGCGCTACCTCAAGGCTTGTGGCCAACATTTGTTCATCCGGGAAAGTTTCCATAATCTCTTCCGCCTCAACCTTCTTCTCTGCTCCTTCTAGCCTAGACAAGTGATCAGCCACTTGGTTCTCTATTCCCTTTCGGTCACTGATTTCTAAGTCAAATTCTTGTAGCAGTAGCACCCATCGAATCAGGCGCGGCTTTGACTCCTTCTCAATTAGGTACCTGAGAGCAGCATGGTCAGTATAAACAATTACCTTTGAGCCTATCAGGTATGACCTGAATTTGTCAAATGCGAACACCACTGCTAGCATCTCCTTCTCGGTCACTGTGTAATTTAGTTGGGCACCACTCAAGGTCCTAATTGCGTAGTGGATTGGATGCATGACTTTATCTTTTCGCTGCCCAAGAACTGCTCCCACAGCATAGTCGCTTGTATCACACATCAGCTCAAATGGTTGCTCCCAGTCGGGTGCAACTATGATAGGTGTAGACACCAGCCTCTTCTTTAATTCCTCAAAAGCTACCCTGCAGTCATCAAAAAACACAAAAGGGTGATCTTTTCAAGCAGTTTATACATAGGGTTAGAAATTTTGGAAAAATCTTTTATAAATCACCTGTAGAAACTGGCTTGGCCAAGGAAACTTCTTATTGCCCTGACGGAAGTGGGCGGTGGCAACTTTTCTATTACATCAACCTTTGCACGATCCACTTCAATGCCCTTACTCAACACTAGGTGCCCTAAGACTATACCTTCCTGTACCATGAACATTTTTCCTAATTTAGTACCAAATTAGACTCCACACACCTCTTCAATACTCTTTTTAAGTTCATAAGGCAATCATCGAATGAGTTCCCCACCACTGAGAAGTCATCCATGAACACCTCCATTATTTCCTCTACCATATTTGTAAAGATGACCATCATGCACCTTTGGAATGTGCGGGTGCGTCGCATAGGCCAAACGACATTCTCCGAAAGGCATAGATGCCATATGGACAGGTGAACGACGTTTTCTCTCTATCCTCCGGGGCAATAGAGATCTGATTATACCCCGAGTATCTATCCAAAAAGCAAAAGTGGGAGCTCCCTGCCAATCTATCTAGCATCTGATCAATGAATAACAATGGGAAATGGTCTTTTTCGGGCCTTGTTCAACATCCTGTAATCCATACAGATTCGCCATCCTATGACTGTTCTTGTTGACATCAACTCGTTGTCCTCATTTTGCACTATAGTCATTCTACCCTTCTTTGGCACACACTGAACTGGGCTGACCCAGTTACTGTCAGAGATGGGGAAGATGATTCTCACATCTAACCACTTGATCACTTCTTTCTTCACCATTTATTTCATGTTAGGGTTCAGCCTTCTTTGATGTTCTCTGGAAGGTTTGTGCCCATCTTCCAGTAAAATGTTATGTATACAAAATGTCAGGCTGATACCCTTAATATCTGCAATGGTCCAACCAATTACAGTCTTGCACTCCATCAACACCTGCAAAAGTTGTTCTGCCTGCACATCTAACAAACTAGATGAGATAATAACAGCTAAAGTTGAGTTAGGTCCCAAGAAAGCATACCTGAGGTTAGACGGTAGCGATTTTAGCTCCAACTGTGGTGGCTCTTCAATTGATGGCTTAGCTAGATGGGTTGATGATAGGCTATAATTGCGTATTTTAGTCGCTTATTACACTCTAATTTACTCCACTTTAATTGAGTTTGAGCTCAAATGATAGTGAATTGCACTTACTACGTGTTTTATGCCTTGCAGGAAGTGATCCTGAGCTCAAAAGCTAATTTGAAGCTAAATTGATCAATTTGGAGCTTTGAAGTCTGAGTAAAAGCCCAATACATTAAGCCGGGATCGTGTTCGGAGGTCGTGTACCAAGTCCGGATGTTAAAAGAGGACGAAATAAGTTCACTCCGAGAAAATTACAGTACCGCGCCGCATGGGGTGCTGCAAGGCACGGCGCAGCAGTGTAAAATGCTGCCTGATGCGAAAAGTTGAGGCTGCTGATAAAATGCACTAACGCGCCGCATGGTGCGGCGCAGCCTGTGGCGCGGCTGTTCAACTTTTACAGAGCGAAGTCCTAGTTCGCGCAGGAAAGAGTTTTTTTGTCTAGGCCCGACCCTACTTGGTATAAATACATGTAAAAACGCTATTTTGAGGAGGTTGGACAGATTTGAGACACTACTTTAGGGTTAGACAACACCCTTGGAGGCAAGAACACGGTAGGAGCAAGGCGGGGAATTAATCTACGAGTTTTTCCTTCCTCTTCCTATTTTTCATTGTTGGTTATGACTTTTAGTATTGTAGTTTTACATGCTATTATGAATATCTAATTTGTTATCTAGGGTTTTGATGGAACCTTTTGTAGGATAAATTCTTGTTATTTTTATATAATTGAGCCGTAGTATTTTCTCTATTTGTTCAACTACGTGTTTGTTGTAGTTAATTGACAGGATCCTCAATTAGCTGTGCCTATTTAATGTGCATAACTCGGGAGAGAGTGCATATTTAGGTAGTTGTTGAACAACATCACTCCCAAAGTATAAGAGGGATCTATAACTACGGGTTTAAAGGCGGGATTAGGGATAACGAAGCCTTGGGTGCAATCTAAAGTGAGCTTAATAAACAAAGCCAGCTAGCTTAACTCAGGAGAGTGCGTCTAGTAAATTGTGGTAATTACTCGGGAGAGAGTTACGATAGTCAGAGCGCTCATTATCGGTAGAGAATACTTAGGCGAATTTATAGAAAACGCAGCGGGAAGGATTCCGACAATTGGAGAAATCATAACTCTAGACCTCCTTAATTTTGACTCCAATCATTATCCTTGTTAATTGATAGTTTTACGGTTTCCTAGATTTGTTAGTTAAGTAGATAAAAATAAATATTATAATCTTTATAATTAGAAAATTATTTGGACTTGTGTTTCTTAGCGATATTGAATAACTATAGCTAAGCCCTAGTTCTCTGTGGGATTCGACTCCGGACTTGTAAACCGGATTATATTTGCAGCGACCGCTTATCCTTTTTAGGACTAGAGTTGGGCGTGATCATGGGTCTTTCTTTCTTCTAAGTGTAAAGGGTCGAATTCGAGCTCTCTTTTCCAGTACCCTTGACCTTTAACCCACTCCGCCATGTCCTCACCATCTACCTCTTCTAAGTTCATGAGGTAGGCTGCTAGAGGGTTTTTGCGTTCAGAGCCTCATCTTCCTCCTCCAAAATCACATCCACAGCTTCTATCAGAGACCAGTTAGCAAACTCACTAGGTCGCTGCACAGACTTCTGCACATTGAACGTTATCTCTTCATCGTTCAGTCTCATCTTAAGCTCCCCAGTTTCGCAATCAATGAGAGCTCTCCCAGTGGCCAAGAATGGCCTCCCAAAAATTATGGGAATCTCCTCATCCACCCGGCAGTCCAGAATGACAAAATCTGCCGGAAACACAAACTTTCCAACCTGCACCAGTACATCATCAAGTATACCTGATGACCTTTTCACCGTTCGGTCAGCTAGCTGCAGTAACATGGATGTGGGTCTTGCTCTTCCAATGCCTAACCTTTTATAAATAGCCAAGGGCATCAAGTTTATGCTCGCCCCTAAATCACACAATGCTGTAGCAAAAGCATAGTTGCCTATTGTGCATGGGATTGTGAAACTCCCTGGGTCGGACAACTTCTCAGCTATGGGTCTCGTCACAATAGCACTGCATGTCTGAGTTAGTGTAACAGTGGCCAAGTCTTGAAAGTCGAACTTACGAGACATCAAGTCCTTCATCATTTTTGCATAATCAGGCACTCCTTCAAGGTGTCAATCAATGGAATGTTCACCTGAATTTGCTTCAACATCTCCATGAATTTCTTATACTGCTCATCCTTCTGATATTTGGACAATCTCTATGGGAAGGGTGCTGGAGGTCGCTTCTTTCCTATGATTTGAGTTTGATCCTGCTCGGGCATTTTTTCTAATGCCTTCTCTTGCACTTCTTCAGCCCCCCTTTTAGACTCTTTTTTCTTGTTTGTTTTCTCCTGCGCTAGTTGGATTCTTACTTCTGTCAGCTCTGTTGACTCATCTACCTCAATCAGTACTGGCACGAGCATCTCGGTTGGTCGACTTTCACGAGCAATTTCTTGCTCTAGATCAAGGTCTCTACCATTTCTCAGACTAACAACCATCAACTGTTTCGGGCCCTGCTCTTTTGGGTTAACATGTGTGTCCGCAAGTAATGTCCTTTGAGGACGAGTGTTAAGGGCCATGGATATTTGCCCTAGTTGAATCTCAATGCTCTTGATAGCTGAGTCATGTGATACTACCTTTTCTTGCATCTGGTGGACCTTTTCTTCCATTTTTCCGCTGGACCCAATGAGTTGTTGTAGCATTCCTTTAATTTCAAACAAACCATCCTTTTGTCGCACTATCTGATGCTGTTGAGGTTGTTGATAACCTAGTTGCTGATTCTGCTGATTGTACCCTTTTTGCCATTGATAAGGCACAGCCTGACCCAGTGGTCGTGTAAATCTAAGATTATTATTATTGTTGTACTGCTGCTGTGGTGGCCTATATTGTTGATTCTGCTGTCCCCAAGTCTGACCGCCTTGTCTCTGTCTCCATAGTTGCCCACATAGTTCATATTCTCTTGATAGTTTTGATTGTCACTTTCACCACTCCACGAGCACACATATGGCTGATTAATGCATGGTGTGCATAATCCTCCATTTGTCGTGTCAACTATGTGTACCTGCTTCTGGCCTGATTCGTCAATATTCTTGGAGAGGATACTCATTTGCGTCATCAGAGTGGCCATATTCTTGGCTATGGAATTGTTTGGGTCCAAAGCCACTAAGTGAACTACAGAAGTGATTGTAGAGTGTCTTGTTATCCATCTTGAATTTTGAGCCATTTTATCAAGTAAGACCTTGCATTCCCGGAATGTTTTGCTCAAAAATGCTCCACCTGCTGAAGCATCAACATTAGCCTTCAAGCTGTCTACCAATCCCATGTAGAACCTTTGCCCCAACATCTGATCTGGAATGCCATGGTGTGGACACTTAACCAGCATACCTTTGACCATCTCCCGCGTTTCTTGCAATGTTTCGGCCGGTTTCTGCTTGAAGCTCAATATCTCATCAACTTGTTTGGCAGTCTTATTGGGTGGGTAGAACTTGCTAAAAAATTACTTGACTGATTCCTCCTAAGTGGTAATGGAGTTTATAGGGAGCAAATTTAGCCAAGTCTGAGCTTCTCCCGTCACCGAGAATGGAAACAACAACAGCCTTATTGCTTCCGGTGTCACATTTTGTTGCCTTTGCGTGACACATATCGATAGAAAATTTTTCAGATGCTGCTGACGATCTCCAATGTAAGACCCCGAGAACAGTCCCTTATTCTGCAACAAATGTAGCATGGTATTTGTGATTTGAAATTATTTCGCTTGTATCTTAGGGACTGCAATTGCGGTTGCCAGATTTGCAGTGGTAGGTTGTGCCCAATCAGAGAAGGCTGCTTCTGGCACAAGAGGTACCACACCCTGGTTGTTCGGGTCATTCCTATTGTTTCTGTTGTTTGGGTTGTCTATTACGTCACCCATGTCTAGTTCGATTCGTTCTGTTGAGTTCTGTTGTTGTTTGTCTTTCTTGTTTGCTCGGTTTAGTGCTTGAAAGCTTTCTCAGGGTCCGGTAATGCTTCGTACAATTCACCAGTTCTTGAGGAGTTTCTCGGCATGCACCTGTAGCACACAAGACTACAACCGTTAGAGTTTCAATATAATGAATTTCAAGTCGAGAAAGCTGAATAAACTACAAATTCTAACAAATCTTTTAGCTGTAATTAATAACACCGTTAATTCCCCGGCAATGGCGCCAAAATTTAATCACGCCCAACTATGCCTTATAAAAAGGACTAAGTGGCCGTTGCAAATATAATTCGGTTTACAAGTTTGGGGTCGAATCCCACAGAGAATTAACCTATTAATCACAAGGTAAACAAAAGCCTACATAGCAGTTCCAATGCTACGCCTTCAACCACTCGGCCATCTCTCCTACATAACGATTATGACCCAAAAACCGAGTGAATAGCGAGTCAGTCATAATCCATATTCCATTAATGGATAGGTACGACCAATCCATTTTAACTGAAAATTTTTCATCAAAGTCAAAGCAAAGAACGATTTTTCTTTCCTTCGAGGCTCCGGGATAAAGATACAATTTTGCGTAAAAATTGTGAAAAAAAATTCGATTCATGTTTCCAAAAACAACGTTCCCTTCTTTTTCTGATATTTTTATAACGGATTAATTCAATGAATTAGAACGAATCAACTGATTGATGGTCTATATCTTTTAGACTATAGTTAATGGATACTCTTAAATCATAATTCTTATTATATAGACTATGATTCCATACCAGGAAAATTTTCAAATTCCTTTTCGGTTTTGGAGTTCTCAACAACAAACACCTACCCCTCGAAATTCGTAAAAAAAATTTAGATTTGATTGTATAGTGTATACCCGTTATGTACACAAAATTGGCAGTTATTCTATTTTCATCATAGAATGATTATTCGGTCTTTTTTCTTCTTTGTAATTTGTATCATGATTCAATAAAAATTTCTCGATTTCTTCGAATTTGTAACTTCACCGAAATCGGAATAGTTCTTATACTACTACATTAGTATGAAATCGAATCGCCTTGAAATATTTCTTATTTCTTATCGATTCCTGTCAAAAAGAACCTTTCTACCCATATTATGCAAGAAATTGAGTGATTCCTTCTTTCTTCCAACTTTGAAAGTACCGATAGATACTATCATAGAAAAAGAAGAGGTGGTCCGAATAGTGAATTTTTCAAAAACATGATCAGAAAAATGAGAAAAATAGAGTTTTTGAAAAGAAAAAGAAATCCATTTTATCATTTAGACGAAAAAAATATTATGATTCTTAAGAACTCAACGGGCCCTTCCCCTTCGAATCAAACAAACAAAGAAGGGAATCCCGTTGAGTTCTTACGCTTTCATGTTGACGACTCAATTCATTCGATTACTACAGGGATGAACCCAATCCGGAATATGAACCATAAAAGAAAATACATATTAAACCGATTACAAGAATACCAGCTACAGTACCTATTATCCAAAGAGGAATCCTTCCAGTAGTATCGGCCATTTACCCCACTTCCCTCCAGATTTCATCAAGTGGTCATGCTAGAGACATAAACAGTCATGGATAATTAAATTATGAGATCCTTCCGAATGAGCTAAGAGAATCTTATTTATTCTCTTTCGTTTTCTTAATTGAAGAAATAATTGGAAAATAAAACAGCAAGTACAAAAATGAGTAATAACCCCCAGTAGAGACTGGTACGATTCAATTCAACATTTTGTTCGTTCGGGTTTGATTGTGTCGTAGCTCTATAATTCGGATTAAGTTTATCGTTGGATGAACTGCATTGCTGAACTGCTTTTTTTGCAATTGCTCAGGATAGCCTTTTTTAGCTTCTAGGGTCTATTTCTTAGTTCAAGATCCCTCTTACTAACTGGAATCAAAGAATTAGTAGATCTGTTCCGCCCAAAATGGGAATGGGCTAGGGTTATGAACTTATAATCTGATGATCGAGTCGATTCCATGATTATAAGTTCATTCCATACCGGACCAGGCCGGAATAGGGTTATATACATTCTCATTATGAGAAGGGGTCATTCGGGCCTATCTAAATAGATACTATGTTTACATATGAATTCCTACATCATTACATTCCATTTAGGATTAGGAATACGCGTAATCGGACCTGCTTTTTACATATCTCTATTGGGACCCTATTCACCTCTTTGAGTGAATCGAGAAATAGGTTTGATTGTCCATCTTTTTGATATATATCAGGCATTGCATTCTCCGGATAATTCAAATCGAAGCAATTGAATG